AAAATAAAATGCGCGAATTACGAATACGAATATTTCGCGCGAATATTTACGCTAGCGTTCATTAATCGCTCAGTCTGGACATCTCGCTAGTTACGCCATGGATTAACGTACGCCCGGCGTTAGATACGCCTGGCGTATCTCACAGGTCTGAACGTAGCCTTTATATATATGGCTCTGAAATAAGGTAGAGTTCCTATTATAGGAACTCTAAAATAAGGCTATGTTCAGACACAACGACTTACGCTAGCGTAACGTTAATCGAGTGGTGTGAACTTGTGCGCGGCGTAGCGAACACCAGTATTATCGCGCAATCACTGGCGTACGGTAATCCAGCAACAGACCCCAGATTAGCGTACGCCAATGATTTACGACAGTCATGCATCGGTGATTTTGAACTCAGCCAAGATTTGACCAATCAAAATAAACCTATAAAAGGCTGTCTCTTATACACATCTAGATGTGTATAAGAGACCGCGCGAATACTTACGCTAGCGTTCATTAATCGCCCAGTCTGGACATCTCGCTAGTTACGCCATGGATTAACGTACGCCCGGCGTTAGATACGCCTGGCGTATCTCGCAGGTCTGAACGTAGCCAAAGGTACAGGTACTGTAGTTGCTAAATACAACGGGTTCAGCCGAGGGGCGTGGTTTCGTATGTTGACTTCATGCATAATTTCACCGACCTCGTAAAATCGGGGTTGGCCTAGTTAGTCTTATTTTAGCGGGAGGGATTAGGCAGTAATCACAGAAATAAATGAAAATAATTCAATGGCCTACTAGTACTACACTGCACTATTAGTCTGTGGATTTTCCAACCTAATCCCATGAATAAATTATCTTACTGAAGAGAATATGGGCCCTCCAATTCAGAAAAAATTACACCAAAAAATTATAATAAAAATAATAAAACATTTACTGATGAGTAGATATGCATGCAATATGCAATCCATAGTAATAGTAAGCCTAAATTGCAATGAAATTGAACTCATAGTATTGACTTTTCCCTATAAATGAACAATGACAAAGATTATATTCATCTTCACAAACAAAACACATATGTAACGAATTAATAAAAAAGCCTTAACTTTTGGAATTTTTGAAGAATATACAAACAAGACTGTTGAAAAAGATTATGCAAATTAACCATAAACATGGAAAACTAAATAAATACATTCTAGTTAGAATTCTCGTTTTTCTTCTTCTTTTCAAGCAAAACACGATAGAATGAGCTCAGTTCATCCCAGTCCATGTATCCTCCTGCTAGTTGACGCTGTACACCTTTAATGGTTGGATCAATATAGTATTTCGTGCGCGCGTGAGCCAATCGTCTGTTGTCCATGCAGAGAATCTCTCCTATAAAATGATTATAAAACAGAAAAATTTGGTTTATATTCTGGATTTGAGGACGAAATATAAAAAAATTCAATCAACATAATTGACGAACTATTGAAGGCAATAAAGATACCATGTAGCTCCATGATGAGACATACGAGTCTACAAAGTACAAAGTAATTATTGTTCAACTTTACATCAGCTCAACACCGACAGTATATCCTAAAGCCCTGTACAGATTATCAAACTTCATTTGACATAAACATGTGACATGCCTAAATATGGTCATGGTGACATCACATCATGACCATATATAGGCACATCATGACTATACATGGGTACACCATGACCATATATAGGCACACCATGACTATATATAGGCACATCATGACCATATATAGGCACATCATGACTATATATGGGCATACAACAGTTTCTTTGTCAAAGAAAATCTGATAATCTGGACAGGACTTCCATTCCGTTACATTAGTACGTTTCGTTTTATATTTTTTTTAAAGTTTTTTTTTTTTAATTCAGTATTTGTTACACATGTTCCTTAAAAACGAAAGGTTTCGGAAAATAAAAACAAAACCTAGTTTAATAGCCTATCCAACGATGTGAACAAAAATATCTTCCTTTATTATAATCGCACTGTACTCTTGATTTGGCAGCTCGATGTCAACTAGTTATAGAAACCAAAAACTTACAAATATTTTTTTCTTTTTCATTTAGTTTACATTCAACAGCGGAAAGCCATTACAGAATGGAAAAATCACTTTACTTTTATTCTTTTGATTGGCTGGAATCAATGAGGTACGTCACTATATAATTCTTTGAAAGGGGCAGGGCTACCAAATTGAAAATTTAACACGTTTAAATAACTATATTCTTTTTGAGTGTATTTTGGTAATCTGAGATTGAAAGATTTTTATAATTTAGTAAATGAATGAATGATGGATAGACGGGTAGTAGGCGTGACCCACACAGGCACAACACGATTATATGCAGAACAATTAAATATGTAAATACCGTACTCGCGCGAATAAGCGCCCCGTTTGAATAACCGCCCCTCTCCTAACGTGAAAATTCCCTTAAGCGCCCCGTTTGAATAAGCGCCCCCATTTAATTTGCGCCCCCTAAATAATATCATAATATTTTCTTTTTAGCAAGTCAATAACCCAATTAATCATGGGACTGCTGTTGTTGGCATAATTGAGCTGCAGAGTGGAAACACATTCTTCTTAGATCAATATCAAAATGAGGATATTTCTCTTGGACAGATGAGAGCTCCGATCCCTGGACAGACAGTGTATTTCCAACTTTACTCTTTTTACATATTTGTCTATGCCTAGTCCTACTCCTCTTTTTTCTTTTCCGACAATTTGCACCTTTAGCACATTCTCATCTGAGTTTTCAAATAAAAAATACAATGATCCTGCCATCCTGCTAATCTCAATCGGCCGATGGCTAACAAGCTATTTGCATCTGCTACGGTATTTTGCTGTTATGTAAATATTCACGCATTCTTGTCATGAGCTATGTTCTCTGGACGATTATCTTTTCTAACCACCATTCGTAATGTCCTTATATAATCTTTTTTTCATTCAAAAAAAAGTGCCTCTTGAATTTAATAATTTCCCATAAGAACCCTACGATTTTCATCTATTTCCATAAGCGCCCCCTCAATTTCTACTCTGTTTTTCATAAGCGCCCCGTTTAAATAAGCGCCCCGTTTGAATAAGTGCCCCTCAGAAAGTGTAAAAAATATTTTAAGCACCCAGGCGCTTATTCGCGCGAGTACGGTGTTTGTTTTATCCTGTATTTATACACACTCGCTATAAACAAAAAATAATATGAAACAGACATATATCGATAAACGAATTACCTGGAGAGAGTCGATGTCTTACAATGTTTTCCTCGTGATATAGGTAGCGAGATAAAACCTTGAGGGCGCTGTACACTGGATAAACTTGTTCAGGAGGTACATTCATACTGTGATGACGTGAAAAATGAATGCTCACTTGGTTGATGTTCCCTTCGAATCCGTAGCTACATCAAAGATATCAAACACCCTAATCTTCATTTTTAATTTGAAGGGCATTACACAATCTCAAATAACACACTAACACCACCGGATCGTCACAACCTCTACCCAAGTCAGTCATCACAAAGTGTTTAGCCGGATTCATCCTCAACATCATCATCGTCATCATCACCACCACCATCATCATCATTCTCGTCATCTCATCTTCATCATCCAACATCATCATCCCCATCCCTATCATGACCAATATGACTATTATCATCATGACCATCATCATCATCATCATCATCAATGTCGTAGCCAGCTATTGAGACAGTCGGGACTGTCCCGCTTAATTTCCCTTCAAACCAAATTTACATTTAAAATAGGTCCATACTTATAAACTAAGTAATATTAGGCCTACTTACTCATATGAAATGAAATGGGTCAACTTTTTAAAAATGGGTTCACATTATAACATTTTTACTCATAAAAGGGTCCAAATGTTAAAAATAGGTCCCCTTTTTGTATTTTTTTATGCGTGAAATGGGTCCAAATTCTAAAGGGTCCACTTCAGTTATATTTTACACATAAAAGGGTTCCAGATTTTAAAAATAGGTCCAATTTATTTATTTCACGCGTGAAATGGGTCTACTTTATAAAAATTAGTCCACAATAGTTACATTAATTTATGCATAAAAGGTTCCAAATTTTTCAAATATGTCCACATTTTTGAGTTTTTGTGTAAACTGGGTTCCAGATTTTAAAATGTCCCACGCTATTAAGTTTATACACAAGAAATGAGTTTACATTAATATTATGCATTAATTTATATACCGGCACATGAAATGGGTCCATATTTTAAAAACGGGACCATATTAGTTATATTTTAGGTGTAAAATTGGTCCCTTCCCAAGTTTTAAAGTGGTCTACATTTAATCTACAGTTAGTTGGACTATTTTGCTCCCAAAGAACACTCTTCCAGTGTAGCTTTTTGGGGCCTGAATAATGACTACTGTACTTATGGAAGTAAAGTGCCAGTACGGTATAAAACTATGATCATTTAAAGAGAAAGAAACTTAAATAGGCCTTGGTCAATATTTAGCGTTATCATCACCAAACATGTTTAAGACATGCTTTCGTCCTATGTTCTAGCAATTGTTCACAACGGACCAAAAAGAACTCCCTCAATGGCTGAATTGGTTGCAGATGGGAGGGAGTGAGAGGAATTTTTATGACGGACCCTCCCATAATAAACCTGTCAATTTGTTTTAATTAGGCCTACAGGTGAATATGTTTCGGATAACAGACTGCTGGTATGATTTTTAGCTCCGATGAGGAGCTCTATGAGTAACCCTGCAAATTGTATGTTTTTTTTGCTGATTCGCTGTGTATTTTTTTTTTTTTTTTTTTATTTTTTTTAGCTGGGTTTCAGCAAGGGCTGTGCATTACTGCCTTTACCACTTTGATACGCTTCGTATGGATGGAGCGGTCGGTTTACCGTGCCATCTATGCGACGGTTGCATGCGATGGTTCAAACAAATCTCAGGCTGTGAGTTCGAATCGCGTCTTGGCACTCACATTTTTCCCCCAATTTTAAGACTTCTTTTTCAATTTAAAGAAATTTCAATTTTGTACAAATTATTTAATCTAATTAGGGCCTATTTGAAAAATTCTCTGTTGTTATGAGCAGTTCTCCTAAGTACTCGGCTGATTGATTAATTAAATAATTCCTGATGATGATCTAATAAAAGATCGAAGTATTTAATCACAATAACGAGTCTTACTTTATTGATTATTTTTTATACTAAGTCATGTAAAACTTATCAGTTTCTTTTTTTCAATTTTAAGACATTTTAATTTTGTACACGTGTATGTAAACATTTCTATCTTAGCTCTTCTAATTTTGTTGCCAAACATTTCTCAAATATCTTAGAATGTTCATTTATACAAGAAAAAAAAAAAAGAATAAACACCGACGCACGATTCGAACTCACGACGTTCAGTTCCTTACAAAACACCTTTTACATCTCCCTGATTTAAGCATGTTTTAATATGATCTCTATTGCCTCTATTATAGTGCCCTCATTGGAGCATTGGAGATTGTTTTGTTACATCAAAAAGATTATGTAGGTATTCCTCCATGGACAGATCTACCAGGTGATAAGTGTACACTTATAGAGCAATAAGAAACATCATGAGATGGAAGATCAATGTTAGAATGAGGCCTATGTTTTCACAGGGGTCCATGGGCTCAAGTCATGCAACGGCCCCGTCAGGGTGCAAAGAAATATCAACAGATTGAGTGGTTTTTATATTTAGTCTTATAATAGTAATACTTAAAGAGAACGAAGTGATCAATGAGGAATAGAAACCTTCGGTTCTGATGTTGTGGAAGACAATAATTACAAGCTCAAGTTACAACCGATTACCTGGGAGCAGATGATGCAAAGTGCCTTCTTAAGTTCCAGGGACTAAAAAGTCCCAAGGAAAAAATTGACAGTTGTGAATACACGTTATGTAAAACATTATGATTGTAATGTATCAATGGCATGTTTTGGAACTATTTTAATCTTAATATAATCGTTGTTGCTTTGTGAGTGGCGTGCGTGAAAATCAGAATCCTTCCTCCCCGTCCGAAAAGCCTGGAAAACTCCACCCCGTCGTACGACGCCACGGCGGGGTCATCGTCGAACTGAAACATTAACTTTCTGGTCAAATTCAAAAGTTATTGTGATGCCAATTTCTAATATTGTGGTCTAAAAATACAATTTGAACCCCACCAGAGAATTTTGTCCCCAGGGGTTCCTAAACCACGGGGCCCAGTTTCACAGAACCGCCGGTAGTTAATGTATACTGTAATTGCTTAAATTTTAACATTATTAACAATTTTAAATTAAAGATGTTCATTATATATAGATAAATACTATTAATTCAGATTTTTATACATGCATTGCTTTAATTTTTTAGATTTTTATAATGAACCGCCTGAATCTGCGGTAGTTACGCCACTGATTGGGTCCACTCTTAAAATCTCTCACAATGTGTGAAAATCCTGGCTACGGCATTGGTCATCATCACCACCATCGTCATTATCATAATCATTATGGTAACCGCCCTATTCTCAATCACCGAAGATTATTATCAACGCACAATCGCTTTCATCACTATTCCATCATCATCTGTGTTGTCGCATTATCCCATCGTCGTCATTATCATAACATATATATATATATATATATATATATATATATATACGGGTCATTGAATTGTGAAGTAATAGAAAACAATGTAATAATAATAATGTTTTTTCATATTGCAGCATTTTCTAAAGTGGTGTTACATGTACCGTAGAGTTGGCTTTTAGTTGATGTGATTTTCCCTTCAGTTACCTTTGGTTCATTGGAAGAAATCATTGAGGATTTCACTACCTACACGTTTTACCAACTCTGTTTCCAACTACATTTTTACTGAATAAACTCTTTTATTCACACACAGTAGAACCCCCTCATTTAGGACACCCCTATTCAGGGGACACCGCTATTAAGGGGACACTTTTCCGTGAAACGAGTGGCTATATATGTTTTAACTCTACACTTTTGAGTGTGCAAAATGGTCAAATCAATACAATTTCATCCCAACTAAGGGGACGCATATATTTTTATTGCATCAAAACAACTACAGCAGTCAAAAAATAAGAACAAATTCATTCAAATATATATTTTAATACCTTTTGAGCAATAACCTTAACATCGAACAGATTTTCTTTCCATCTTTAGAATTCGCTTTGGATGCCTAGTATATGTGTTACTTCGTATAAATAATAATAATAATAATTATTATTATTATTATTATTATTATTATTATTATTATTGTTATTATTATTATTATATTATTATAACTAGAATTATGTCTGTTTGAACAAAAGAACATAGGGCTTTTCCCAATTGCTTTAATGAGAAATTAATTTAAAATTGCAACAGAACTCGTTAAAAGGTGGTAGGAAGTAAAAAAAAACCACGGAAAAACCAATATAATTTTCATGAAGTGGGAGGGGGGAAAATGAAGTGGAAAAAATAAACGAAAACCAAGTTCACTGCGAGGTTATTATAATAATAAAATTTTTACCATTTAAAATGGAGATTTCTTGTTTTGTGTATTTTGATATAGGATTATAATCTATCCGGACAAACCTGCACCCTGATTTCTAAGTTGGTAACATCTATTAATAGTATTCTATTTTGTGCATCCAATAGAAAGCTCAAAAGAATAATTTATTTGGTCATTAACATTGCACTCGAATAAAGAAACATTATCGGGAACATATATAACTTTTGTAGTTTTAATTACGTAACTGTTAATATCATACCTTAAAAGAATTACTTTTTGCATTGCTCATTATTGTTATAAATTAGTTATAATTAAACGGTAACTCGTTCTTAAAACAATTAAGATAAAATTATAAAGAATGTATGTCGGGGGACACCCTATTAAGGGAACATGCTTTTGGTCCCGAAGGTGTTCCCTTAAGGGGTTCTAATGTATTTACATTTGTTCACTAAGATAAGCTTCACTTTTTCGTTTATACATCAAGTGTGTTAGATATCATTCATTCAAAAAGTAGGCATATTGATTACAGCATTAATAACTTACCTAATAGCTGGCTTGGAGCTTCTAAAGTGAAAATCGTTCAAGATATCTGTACCGATATCCGTAAATTCAAACAGAGTACTGCTCAGAATGCTGTGCACCTCTGGTTCCTCTTTCTTCAAGTCTTCTACGACTTTGTATGTATCAACAAGTTGGTTTTCGCCACCTTCCGTCGACTGCTTAATGCAATGAAGCATCTGCATCTAGAACACAAACGTAACAGGCCTAATTATAGTGGTTATAGATGATGAAATTCAAAATAGTTCATAAGGTTGTAATGAGCTATAAACAATAAATAATAAGAACAATGAACACAATTCGATAGTATAGTACAATCTTAAAGATGTTCTTCTTTCTTTATCGTACATATATAAAGACGTTCGGCATATGTTCAGCAAAAAAAAAATACAGTACACAACAATACAATATACGTATCTTTATTCATCCCACATGGGGCAATTCAATACAAGGGTCTGGATTACAAGCTTAAAAGATTAAAACAACTTAACAACTGACCAATCAAATGAGAGCGAGTAATACACGCTTCACTTCACCCAAAAAAGAGGTGCTGTCCCACAAGCGCACGTTTAAGTATACGTTTACGCTATCGTTTGGTGGGACGTTAAGCAACAATATCTAACAGGCGACGCGTGCCTTTGTGGAAAAGTTCATTACTTGAAAAGTACGTAGGGCCTACGTGTTGTTTCCAGTTCCACCAACGGAGTGTCTAAACTAGATGCATAGCCCCATCACCTTTGCGCCCCATCGGTCTCCACCCCCCCCCCCCCCCACCCCTCAATTTCAAGTTGTTTTCAAGATTCTTAATAGGTCGCTGTTCTTTGATCATTGAAAATGAACATTTTCGCTGCTCTTATTTTAAGGTTGTTAGCGGCGCACCTGCCTTACCACTCGACTCAGCATTGTGCAGAGTCTGATACACTACTTACACCAGGCTGATTGTACATAGCACAGATATCGGTGTGGAAGTCTATAGCTGTGTCTGTGTAGGTGATGCTGTTGGGATCATTCTTGCTCATCACTTGAAACGTTTCTCTACATGATCAAAACAAATTCATGACAATTCTTAGACCAGGTGATTATAATAATCATAATCCATTGGTAAATTAGTATTAGCATACTATACTTATTATTAATCTTATTTTTCATCTTAATATTATTTTCATTACAAATATTTTTATTATGTTTTTATGATTATTATAACATTCAAAATAAATAATTACTATAAATAATTGTAATTGTTTTTTGATGATTAATAAGGGCCGACTCCAATCCTAACCTTCAAGTTCAGGCAAAAAAATCAAATTATAGCCGGTTAAATATACATTTTTATTATAGTTATTTTTATTATTTGTTGATTATGATTGAAAGTATGATTATTATCATTCATTCATTCTCCTTATTAAAGAAACAATAGAAAAAATATAACATATAACCCAGGTCTTTATCAAACGCACGCAAGATGTCACAAAGCAACAACAAACTGCACCCCCCCCCCGCCCCCGACGGTTTTTACCGGGCTGACCAAGCCGTCGTACTGGGCTGGGTAATAAGAGAAAAGAAAGAGGGGAGAGGGATGGAAAGAAACAGAAGAGGAAAAGGAAAAGAAAAAAGAAAAGAAAAAGAGAAGAGAAAAATAAAGACAGAATAAAAAGGAAGATACCATAATGACCAGACTCACAACACCCTGCAACGCCTTCTCCACTTTAAGGTGTGTCCATAGCTCCTTCGATCTATGCCGTCAGATATTCTCCGCAGTGGCGTAACAAGGGGAAAATATCCGTCTGTGGAAAATCTTTCCCCATCCCTTGAAGACGCCCTTTCACCCCCTGAAATTGCCTAAAAATCTCAAATTTCGTGCGCTTCGCGCGCATTTCTTGTTAAAGTAGGCCAATTTCCTCTAGAAATTGCACATTTTAGGGAGTTTTGATCAATTCCGACGAAGAATTAAAAACACAAAAATGTTTTGCGCGCTTCGAGCGCATTTTTTTAAAGGATTTTTAGGGTTAGCCTTCTAGGTTATTTAAACACATAATAGTCCCAAACTCAAGAAAGAAAATTTAAGATCGATCGTTTTACCTAAAAGAAGCACCTCAATGTGTAATGATGGTGAAAGAATATGTTTGTAATAAATAAAACCATGGTGAAAATGCTTATATTTAGTTTCAGACACACGTGTGTGGCCTATATTATAATTATAAGCCCTATGTCGTATTGTTTTCTATATAAATAATAATTATTAAATATAATTACAATTAAAATTATACTTTGATGATTAGTGAGGGCGGATTCTAACCCTAACCTTCAAAGGTTAGGTAAATTCGAAGCATAGCCGGTTGAATATGTATTTTTAAAGAGTAAAGAAGTATAGATTAAATTTCAATTTAAGCTATGCTGTCAGAAGTATTATGTAAAGGAATTTTACCCATAGTAAGTTGCTCTCAAGTACGCCACTCGATCGCCGATCTTTTTAACTTCGGTCGGGATAGTACCAGCATTTTGTAGGATTGCGATCCCCTTAGTGTGCAACACAGTCAACCATCCCAACAACACGTCATCATCCGTCATTACATCAGAAAACTGAAATGTAGGTATTGCTCCCTGTAACTCACTCCCCCACAACTCTTTGTTTAACTGACGTAAAGGATCTGAGAAAGCGGGAAATTTTTCCCCTTCAAGAAATGATAACGGGTATTTTCCTTTATGTCCATCAGAAAAATGGATAACAGCAGTGCCGTCATCAGTAAAATGTATGTCGTTTGCTTCAACATCAATATCTAAGTCGTTGAATTGGAAAAGCTTCTGCGATGCTATTTCATGGTAGCACTCTCTGCATCTGCAGTTATCTCTAAGCCAAACATAAGGGTAATTCTTGGACTGTTCTCCGTCCCACTTAAGATTCAGCCATTTATTTTTGCCGTCAATGTGTGCTGAAGGAATGCGAGATCCGTGTTCAGATTGAATCCACGAAGACATGTGTAACTTTCTGTACCCATAACTGCTTCTCTGCAAATTAAAACTCAGCCTAAAGAAATCTTTTGTCTGAAGGCCAATTGATCTTAAAACTTGAAGTGCCTTTGCCATAGTTTACTAACGAGTTTTTGTGTCGAATACGAGAGAGCGATCTATGGATCTATAAAAAAAAAATCATTTGATAGAATAGGGCTCATAAGTATTAGTTTATCACCCTATCAAAGAATAAAAACTGATGAGTTAAAAATAAAAAAATATATGTTGATTGGAAAGAAACCAAAATATGAATTTTCCCGAAACGGATGAAGGAGGGTGTGATAAACTAATATTTTTTTTATGGGGCCTTAGAAGAACACAACACTTACGGTTCAGTGTGATTAAAACAACAGTAATAACAATACTAACACGAATAATGTTTGCCCTAACAGATATATAATCTTTGCCTATCCACTTTTTAATTTTGCCATGTTATAAAAAGCCCGTGTGGTTATCGACAGGAAAAGAATAGTGATCTACAGAAAGGCTGTAATGGAAACAAAATTGCTACCGTATACTACAAATTGTAAGTCAATCGTGACGTCATCACTGTAACCCCCAATGTTATTTGCCTATTCCCCAGCGTCCACTAATGTTTGTATTATTGGACGCTCGGCTTGATTTTTTTAAGGTTCGTGTGCAAAAAAAATCCTCATTTTTTTCGTCAAAAATTTTCGATAAAAATTGAATTGTAATTGAAAATTGCTTTTGTAAAACAAACTTATTTATAATCCGAAGAAAGTTACAACAAACTGAACGTTTAATAGGAATATTCTAGACCTATTTTGAAGACTCTGGAACAAACTTAGATGTAGGCTGTAATGGAAACAAAATTGCTATACTACAAACTAGTGTACTGTAACTGAAACTATAGGGCCTACGTAGGCCTATGCGTACTATAGTACTATGTAATCTTCACAGTTTTAACAACAAAAACAAACATAAACCCAGTGTCTTCATAACTTTTTCTTATAAAAAAAAATTAATGTTTTATCCACTAATTAGTAGGCCTACTGAAAAGCAGAAAACTAACCACATAAAGTGATGTATGATGAACTGGATCCCCCAAATCGTTGGAGAGCAACAACAAAACCACATTCACAAGACAATGTGGCGGTATGACGGTCTTGATTTCTAACGGCAGTTGAAACTGACTAAACCAGTTAAAACCAGAGCCAGAATAATATAGAAATACTGTACGTGGATATAATTATGGGGGTATGGAAAAACCGGGCCTATTAAAACATAGGCCTAGTATGTGTAGACAGGCCTACCAGGCCAAGTTAATTAATATAGCAAAACATTCAGCCCCTAAGCAACGCATTCCAAGTGAGACACAACTTAGAGTTAGGTAGAGCATTAACACAAGACACAAGACTGATGATGACAATTAATGTCGAAATATTGAATCCAGGGACGTATCCAGGGTGGGGGGTGCCGTGGGAGCCGCGGCTCCCCCTCCCCTTGGTACACAGTGTTAAAATTTTAAAGCTTATTCTTGAGCCAATACAAATTCTTTCCTGGGATCACTCAAAATGAATACTTCTAAAACATGTAAATATGCATCAGTACACGTTATACATAGGCCTAATACAACACATATAGTCCTAAATCCATAAATATCAGGCCAGGTATTTTAAGATAGAAATGCGATACTGTGGTTCAATTTCGTTTTTTTCCTTTAGCAAGTTTCTTTAAATTTTGGTTTAATAATACTACTGTACTACTACTAGTAATAATAATAATAACAATGATTATAAGGATGAGGACGATAGTAGTAATTGATAATAATATTGATAGCAATAAAAAGTGAAGAAAATTGTGCTAAATGCGAAAAAAAGTTGTGATTTTTTGTGATTAGTAAGCTATAGTTAGGCCTAAGTTGTCCTGGATATTAAGTAGATCCTTGATAAAAGATCATGAGAAATTTGTTGGCGTTTCATTTTGACTATAATGGTGATGTAATGATGAAGAATTTTACTATATAAAAGTGTCATTCCTGGCCATCTAGAGAGGTACTACACGAGAGGTAAATCACGTTTTTGAAGTAGGCCTATGTAAAGTACATACTCAAAGACAATGTTTTTAAGCTTTGTTTTCTATGGTATATCACACACACATTAATAAGATCTCTATGGTTGTCAAAAAATCCTGATAAAAAGATCATGAGAATTTTTTTTGGCGCTTCATTTTGACTAATGGTGATGTGATGATGATGAATTTTAATAAAAGTGTTATTTCTGGCCATCTAGAGGTAATATTTCCTCAAATTCTCTCACCTCAGCTCCAACCATGGTGGGGTTGAGGTTGGTATCGACACACAAAATACCCTCCCCCTCCACCTTTCAAAGCAGATCTGTGCCCTTCCCTGGATATGCCTCCACCGAGTCGGCTCCTGATGTATGTCCTAGTGACTGCTGTTTGTTTTTAGAATGTGATCTGGTTTTCATGTCCATTTTTCGGGATTATGACTATTCTATTTTTAAGGAAAAAAAAAGAAAAATATATTCAAATTGAAGTGCGAGAGTGCAATTTCCGGCCATCTAGAGATGCCCTAATCATAAATGTTCTTGAGGTGGGTGGTTCCTCGGTCTGTTTAAAGTCCCTCCCTCGTTCACCTCTCTTTTAAATTCCAAGATCTGCCACTGTTGATTTATTATAAGTAGTTATAGTACCACTTCAGGAAATTTCACCTTGAAATTAATAAGCTGGTAGTAATAAATTTTTTTTCCTCTAATTAGCATATGAGGGTAGGCCTATATTAATACTTTTAAACCTTTAATTAGCATAATAAGGTTAGGTCTGAATTAATTTTATCAATATTATTAATCCTTTAATTAGAATTATAAGGGTAGGTCTATATTAATTTTAATAATATTATTAATCCATAATTAGCATATGAGGGTAATACTGGGGGAGTGGGGGTAGGTCTATATTTATTATTAATCCCTTAATTAGCATAATGATGGTAGGCCTATATTAATAATTATAATAATATTCCTTTAATTTGCATGAGGATAGGTCTGAATTAATTTTATCAATATTATTAATCCCTTAATTAGCATAATGAGGGTAGGTGTATGTTAATAATAATACTCCTTTCTAATTAGTTCTGAAAAGAACTGTTGAGATTGTCATGATGTTAAATAATAATACTAATCTAATAAATATAAAACTTACTTTCGAATGTGAGTGTTCCAAAAAGGATAAGCTGACTAATGACGCATAGCGGGTTTTTCAAACTGATGACGCATAGCGAGTTTTTCTAATGACAGGCCCAGTCTGACGAATAATAACGTATAATGAAAAGATCAAAACATCCTCTGGTACGTATGACGTCTGACTGAAATCAACCAATGAGCGAAGCGCACCTTTCGGTCGTAGGGATCACGTGACCCCTGAAGTTGTTTTTAATGCTATAATGAAAGTCTTACAATCTCGAGCAGATATATTTGTTAATGAAACTTTAAAAATTAACGTTTTGCATTTTAGAATGCCTATAGGGGGTGGTAGGGTAAGAAAAGGGATTGATAAAAAATTTGGGGGGTAGATGTCTCATTAGAATTAACAATGGGTTGGATGAGAATATCTGTTGTGCCAGAGCGATGGTCACCGGGATCTCAATGATTGAGGATAAAATTTATAATAGACAAAGATGGTATAATGTGAGAAAGGGCCGATGTGAACAGGGAAGGGCTGCTCTCCATTTGTTGAGAAATGCTGGGGTTAGAGAGGGACCCTGTGGCATTAACGAATTAAAAGCGTTTCAGACGAGTATTCCCAATTATCAACTCATTGTTATTTCTAAAGATAATTTAAATACTGTTATTTTTTGTTTTTTGTTTGTATTTTGTTACTGTTGTTTTTAGACCCAATCTTGAATTTGATTTTCCCTAGTGGTCACGCTGCATTTAGGGACGAAATTATACCCCGACGACATCAAACTAGTGTAGGCCTAGGCTTAAGTACAGTAGGACGTACTACTAGGCCGCAGCCTGATGGGATTCATCGTCAGGTAACAGGCTTAAACGGTCGTTAGAAATCAAACATGTTCAATATTCTATAACGCAAATTGCCATGGGCTGCATCGTACGGCGCTGTTTGAGTTAGCCTTAAGCCGTTGGGCCTGTGTGCACATTAACAAACGCAGCACACTATTCAGAATTGGGGATTGTCTCTTGGTGTAATCCCTAGTCACTACCAGAAGGACCCCACTGGAAATAAGTCTTCTTCAGACTTTTGTGGGTATTCCTTGGTGTTTCCATCCATCCATCCATAACAGTCATTTTGAATTTTGTAATAAAATCAGCTGAAAATCAGTCCGCTATAATTATGCTCTGTCTAATAACAATGATGAGGATAATGACTATGGTGATAATGATGACAATAAAAATGTTACAAACATAACAATATATCATAGCATATGCTTATTTATTTACAACTGATGAATCGTTTGACATATTTTCTAAATATGTAAAGATAAATAATTATTATTTTATTCACAATATTTACAATAATCAATATCATCTGTCTTATGCCGTGTTTATATTGAATGAATTTTGACCAAGTAGAAGGGTAACCTTGGTTACTGAGCTTGTTGCTAAGCAATAAGTAGTAGGATTTTGCACATGTGTGGTTGGTCTAATCATGAATATATTCTATGAAAAGTTCAAAGGTGCACAGTTGTGGTGAGCACTCCTCAGGAGATTACCTGATTCTTGCTGCTGACATTTTGACTTTTCTGCTCAGTAAATACCACCCGATAATTCTTCCTAGGAAATGTTTACTTGGATGAAAGCAATACCTGTGTGATGGTACCTAAGTTGTTCACACTGGATTTTGTTCAAACTGACTTGGTATATGCTTATGTTTGACCAATGCAAACACACCTTTAGTTTCTATCAAGCTGTTATTGAAGCTAATCAGTCAGGTTTTTCCAATCGAACTATAAACCAATAATAACCTAGTACAGTAGCTGGTTCATCTCTAGTTTATTATCAATGTTTAGAATCAATGGGTGCTTGACTGATGACAACACTGCCCTCGCATTTCAACTCAACTGAACTTCCTGATCTGACAACCAGATGTTTAGAGGTGTCTTCTTTTGTTTGTTCTTTCAGAAGCGACTGTTCAGCCAAAGCCTAAAAATGAGGGAAACAGGCAATTGGTAAAATAATAATTGAAAATATTGGCAAATTATTTTTATTAATAAAAATTTTAAAATCTATGTAAATCAAATATATATTGAATAAAAACTAAAGTGTATATAAAGAGTATACATTTAAATATGTATAATACATATAAATCATTTGTTATACTATCATTTTATTATATAATATATTTACATATATATTATATATATAACTGTCTCTTATACACATCTAGATGTGTATAAGAGACAGATATATCCCATGTTTAAACTTCATAAAATGAGGAGCCTAATTTCATCCTAAAATAAGTATTCAAATGTCAATATCCTGTGCTCTCCTGCAATGATAATATGTTATTTTTATACTATTTGTGGCTCACCCGTTCTTCAGCTTTAATTATTTCTTTCTTTTCTTTAATTTTCTCCATGTGTTCATAGGCAGGAAACAACTTTCTCAAAAAGAAGATGTTAATCTGATGCGTCCAGAAATTAAACTCGCGCGTCTCATCGTCCATCTCTTCTTCAATTATATCATCTAGAGAAAAGAATGTTTGTGGAAAAAAATATTATTTGTAAATAACAGACCATGATTTCGAAATATAATGTGTTTCGGTAACACCATTCTTTGAACTGATAATGAGAATATTAATGATGATGATGATGATGATAATGATGGATATCATGAATAGGCTGGTAAGGATGATGAGGATGATGGTGATGATGATAATGATGATGATGATAAGGATAATAATGAGGATGATGATGATGAGTATGATGATGAAAATAATGATGATCATACAGTATTATAATAATAAAGTTATCTTCATTATGATCATAATCATTTTTTAAAGTAAATTTATTGCAGTTCATTGCATAAAATACACAAAACACTACCTTCTGCATGTTCAGTGGCATCACCCATTGATAACATTGACTGTAGCAGAGGTTGAGCTTCATCAGTACCTGACCTTGCTGTACC